GGCCGCGCTGCGGCCCAGAACTCATGCTTATCACATCGCGCGGCGCGACAAAATACAATAGAATTCTATTGTATTTTGTCATGCCGCTCGCGTCCGGTGTAGAATAAAACCCATTATGTTGACGACACCGGATTCAGTAAACTGATGCCTCTATTTATGACGTGCTGACAGAAGTTCAAATGATTTTCAACGGTCGCTTTGACGCGTTCTGTTGCAGCGCAGACACGGTGTCAGCATAGTTTGTCAGTACAGTCAGTAACGTAGCAGATTGAAAAGTTAGTATCTTTTAGATGTTTACATTTGGAAAAGCTGTGCTTCCTGCATAAACCTGCCCCTGTTGGTTTGGCAGTAGCTTGCTTGCCCTACACAGTTACCTTGTTTAATTTCTTAATTCAAGTTATATATTTTTTGTTCTATTTGTGTTATTCAAGTTATTTATAATAAGAATAATAAATGTATTATATATCGGTATTGGTCTTTTTTTACTCCCTAATATCGGTATCGGCATCGGCCCCCAAAAAACCCATATCGGTCGGGCTCTAATATATATTACATATTCTCAGCTGTAAGTCGCTTTAGATCTTATCCTATATGAATACATGTATATAATGTTACCATGACTCATACACTCTAAGAAAAAAAAGGTACAAAAGCTGTCACTGGGACGAAAACTTTTAAAATGGCATATTTTTTTCCCCAAAAGGGTGCGTATTAGTGCGTTAAATGTTTATATTACCACTTAAAGTTACCTAAATGTAACATATTGGTACCTTTTACAAGAGTACCACAACAACTTTTGTACCTTTTTTCTGAGATTGCAGCATAGCATGATAGAAGATTCTGGTTCATTAGTCTGAACTAAGCATTCATGTAACTTCAGCTGTAAGACATCAAGTCTAAGAACAAACTCCAGCCTTGTAAACCAGCCTAACCAGTGGAGAGCAGAAAAAGCTGATGCAACAAACCCAAACAGACCCTGTTAATGAAACACGACCACACCTTTAACTTCAGTACACACTGAGAAACGCTGAGATCTGACAGTCTCATAACACACATGACTAATGCAGCTTTATTTGCAGCTGCTCTCAACACAATAAATCTCTTTTAGATTTACGACCGAAAGCAGAAGTAGAAAAACAGTAGATGAAATACCTCAATCGTTTGTCCTTGACAGCAAAGACATTAAACCAAGAACCTCTGCATCTCAGACTTTTCTCCGGTAATCTCATGCATCTCCTCTAGAGCTTCAGCAGCATTTTGGAGGAACGACAAAATAAACCATCTTAACCAAACTGTTCAGTTGCAGTTTGAGTGAAACCTGTGCAGACTGGCTTTAAACCGGTCTAATGGTGCTTTTTCACTGCATGGTACGGCACGGTACGGCTCAATTTTGGGGGCTTTTCCACTGGGTGCAGTACCTGGTACTTTTTTCAGTACCACCTCGGCTGAGGTTCCAAGCGAGCCGTACCGTTACCAAAATGTTACGTGTAAACCCTGCTGATCACTGATTGGCCGGAGAGAATCATCCCTACCTGCGTCATTGAACTTGGATATGAGACACCAGACCCGCTAGATTTAAATCAGCACAGCCAGCGAGGATCGAACGCAACTTTTTTTTTTTAATGAACAACAGTTTTGAACGAGCACACCTTTTTTAAACAATCAAAAAATGGCTGTTTCATGGTCTGCTGAGGAAGTACAGATGTTCCTCTCGTTGATAGCCGAGGAGCGGATCCAGAGAGAGCTTGATGGGGCGATGCAGAATGGAAAAGTTTTTCAGGAGGTCGCTCAGCTCTTGGCTGCGACGTGTGTATAATCCCGCCCACTTAAAGCGGTACTAAACGGCAGTGGAAACGCAAACCGAGCCGAGCCGAGTCGTGCCACGCAGTGGAAAAGCGCCATGAGTTAGTTGTGCTGTCGTCGTGAATGCCTCCAAGCAGCTGGAGCTGACCTGAGTGTTTTACAACGAGAAACACTCGCTCTTCAAAGGGAATGTCTGTGTTTGTGCTTGAACCAGCATTCTTCAAGCTGCCGGCTGGACGCAGACCACACACACACACACAGAAACACCAACACCGAGCAACCAAATGCAAAACCCACGGATCTCCTCCAGCTTTAACCCAATTATAATGTATTAATGGTGGTTTGGTTACTCACAATGAGAGCCGGTCAGACGCAGGACACTAGATGTGCTCACAGATCAAGGATGAGCTTCGTTTTTTAGCCCTGGCGGTAAGTGGAAGCTTTAAAAGAACGTTGGGAGGGCCCACCTCAGCCAATCAGGACGCTTCTATGTCAACCACTCAGCTCGAAGCTCCGCCCCTCTCCCCTCCACCTGCGTCACTGAAGGGCACACGGGCTTCCAGAAATGAGTTTGAGATAAGGCGACGAATTGCATCAACTTCTGTTTGCACTGGGGCAAGAATCTGGGGTCGCTCGGCCTCACGGGCGCTCTGGGACACCAACCAGCAGCCGCCAATCTGCATACGCGACTGAGGCGTGTGCAAACACATACGGACACACACTCTGGGGTCACTGATCCAAAACCCAGAGATGAACAGAAAATTCACTCAACTCCCATCAGAAATCCTATTGGCAGATATCGGCCAACAACCACGTCCACTTGACAGATTAAAAGACATGCTACTTTCACAATTATTGGGATATTTTGTAAAATATTAAAGTAAATATTGAGTAAAATACATATTTTTATTATTATTATTATTATTATAAGTAGTTATAGATCATCATAACATCAGATACCTGCACTCCAGATCTCAATATCAGCCATTGAAATGCCACTTGAAATACTGGAAAAATTTACCAACAAATGAAATTATTGGTGAATTTTGTAAGATATTTAACCCCTTAGCTGTCAAAGATCGGTGACGGCCCCAGATTATTGTTGTTTCACTTTAACAGCACGTTAAAACATCACACTCTTACTTGATCTGGACAAACTGTGCATCAGTAGAAAGATTAAAGACTCTAGCTTAATAAAGCAAAATAATACATCTGTATGCGTCAAATTTTGGAATAGGAATTCACCACGCATTGTGTTCACGTCTGCAGCGGTTTATTGTGTTCACATAGCTTCACTGAACAGCGAAAATAAGGGCTTATAGTCCAAAGATGCATATACATGGAAAGTGAGTTTTGAGTAAAAGTGTACTAATAATCTCATAAATTGTCTTATGTAGCTTGATGCTAATGTTAGCTCTAATGCAGCTGCAGAACAGGTGCAGTTCTTCTTCATAATGTATTTTGTCATAATAATTCACGTAAGGTCGCAAGAAAATGTTTTGTTGTATTTTTTTAGAAAGACTTTTGATAATAGGCCGGTAAATGTCTACTGCACCTGCATCTAGATATCAATAGAGGCCAAAAAATCCACCAGTGCCAATTGAAATACTGACCACTAATATACTAGTGTGCTACATTCCCAATTATTAGTGAATTCTTTACTATGGTAATATTTGTGTAAAATGTGTTCAGCATTAACATTATATCCAATACCAGCACTCCAGATGCCTATCCATGTTGGCCATTGAAAACTCCATTAGTGCCAACTGAAATACTGGCCACCAATAGTGCTACATCGCCAATTATTGGTGAATTTTGGTAAATATTCAAGTAAATATTGTGTAAAATGTGTTCAGCCAATTTCTTGTATTATGTAGTTATCTACATTATATCAGATACTGCACTTCAAATCTCTAGATATCAATATTGGCCATTGAAAAATCCATCAGTGCCAACTGAAATACTTAGTTTTATAGAAGTACTACTGTAAATTGCCATTTAACAGCTGCTTTATCCAAAGTGGTAAACCAGCTAAACCAACCTGAAGCTGGGTTTGTGATAGTTTGCATCTTGGGAAGATCTAACCAGCAACCTTTAACCAGTACGCCACATCCTCCCAAACAAATAATCCCAGTCAAACCAATCCAGCCATTCAAGATGAGGCATTTAAAAAACGTGCTACCCCCAAAAAAGACAAATTACAGACAGTGCCTGTTTCATTGAAAGTAAGAGTCCAATAAATCAATCAGCTCCTACATCATGACTGCGTCTGAATGTTGTCACATGTTATTGACTGTAAAATGCTAGTCATAGTAAAAAGCCAATCTTACTGTCTTGATGCAGGTGCTCCAATCTCAAGGAGAAAGAGCCTTCCTGTGCCGAGAGGCCTTTCCTTATACAGAGACACTCAACACTCTCAACACCACGAGCCAATCAGCAGCTCCGGCTCAAGGGTCAAACACACAACGCTCCACAGAAACACAACACCTCTACCTCACACTCACAGAGTACTGTATAATAAATTAAATTTAGTAAATTGCTAAAAATACAGCTAAACATTCTAATTTTACAGAAAAAATCTAGTTCCTTCAACCTCAAAATAAATCCAAATATCTCCCCCTCAAACAAACCAACAGTTCAGAGAGACTCTGAAATAAGCACTCAACTAGTGGCCCAAAAATTAACCTATCATTTTGTTATTTAGACGCCATTTCTTATAAGGATGAGAGCCAACAACAACAACAAAAATGTACTCTAACCAGTATTTCCAAGCCTTTTTCTGGATGTGCGTCAACAGTACACTCTTCAAACTCTTCATAATGGACTCTTTGCTAGATTTAATATTCATTTTTAAAGTGTAGCAAAGTTTTTTTTATATTTCCATTTAAAATAAATGAATATAGATTTATAACACCATACTTTGTGTTATATTTCCTTAGCATTCAGTTTCAGAAAACTAGTTAACACTGCTTTGTGTTTCTAATTTTGACATTTGAAAATTTGCACAATTTGAACGTTTTCAAAATTTGAACATTTTTATTTTTCAAATTTGACATTTTTCTCTCCTCTGACCAATGTAATCAATCTCGTGATATTTTTTCCTCTTTTGAAAAGTCACAGAAGCACTATCTTAGATTTTTTTTCCAAATTGCAAATTGGAGCACAAAAAAATATTTTTGGTGTAGTTTCAACAACACTAAAGAAGTTTACCAAACCTGTGCTACCCACAGTTTATAATGACTTCCGCTTCTGAGAACCCTAGAAATATGAAAAGCGTCCAACAAACATATCTGATTCAACTCATCAGCTCATTAGTAAAGACTCCAAGACCTGAAATAGACGGGTCAGATAGGAGAGACATCCAAAATGTGTACTACTGATGTGCTTCCAGGAACAAGGATGGGAAACACGGCCCAAACTCTCATGGTATTATCGTGGCTTCTAGGACAGGGTATCTTGGAGCAGCATATACATGCAAAAGATCACTGTCTGCACTGTCGTCGATGTGGGAGTGGTTGCCATAGAAACAGAGGAACGATGAGAAAGATGCCACACTGGGAAGCAACATTCCACACTCCCGCCCGAGACCAGCAACCCAAAAACTGGACAAACCGTCCCAAACAACACACGATTTACATTCGTTTGATATTCAGCTCTCAACCTGCACGCTCTTATTTCTCTGAGCGCTCATAGCTGGACTTAGGCCTGGGCGATAAAACGGTATCGATATTTATCGACGGTACACCTTCATCGATGACGATATAAACATTTTTCGATATAGCGCACGATATAGGCACGTACTATGTACGTACGATACAACTCATCAGCTCATTAGTAAAGACTCCAAGACCTGAAATAGACGGGTCAGATAGGAGAGACATCCAAAATGTGTACTACTGATGTGCTTCCAGGAACAAGGATGGGAAACACGGCCCAAACTCTCATGGTATTATCGTGGCTTCTAGGACAGGGTATCTTGGAGCAGCATATACATGCAAAAGATCACTGTCTGCACTGTCGTCGATGTGGGAGTGGTTGCCATAGAAACAGAGGAACGATGAGAAAGATGCCACACTGGGAAGCAACATTCCACACTCCCGCCCGAGACCAGCAACCCAAAAACTGGACAAACCGTCCCAAACAACACACGATTTACATTCGTTTGATATTCAGCTCTCAACCTGCACGCTCTTATTTCTCTGAGCGCTCATAGCTGGACTTAGGCCTGGGCGATAAAACGGTATCGATATTTATCGACGGTACACCTTCATCGATAACGATATAAACATTTTTCGATATAGCGCACAATATAGGCACGTACTATGTACGTACGATACAAGTGTTACAAATATACATTTGTAAATGCATCACATGCAAACGGATTGAGTATCAAAAACCAGTGAGTAACTTTTGACGGCTTTGATAAATTCTTGAATAATCCAAAAGCAAATGTTTAAAATAATGTTTTGGACTTCAAAATGATGAAAAATCTATTTGGCTTAGAAGTTAAACCATTGTTAAGACTGAACTCAGAATCAGATGAAAAAGCATTATGTTCCTAGATTCAGGCATTGTTAACAGAAATGTTAATGCAACTTTGAGCTGATGGTAGCGCTACACAGTTCAAAATCTTTGGGCTTCCGGAATGTTTAAAATAATGTTTTGGACTTCAAAATGATGAAAAATCTAGTTGGCTTAGAATTTAAACCATTGTTAAGACTGAATTCAGAATCAGATGAAAAAGCATTATGTTAACAGGCATTGTTCCAGCCCGACCCTCCGTACAGCTCTAGATTACATTACACAAATATATCAAGCAGCAGAAAGACAGACACCAGGAACCTCCACCATCTCACAACGCTGCTTTACCTTTGCTCCATTAAATCTGAAACCAGACTCTCATACTTGCATTGCATTTTCAACATATACTTGCTTAATAAATATTTATTTTGCTTATTCAATAAAAATATTGAATCAATTAGATTTAGTAAAAATTAAAAAGTAAATATAAAAAAATTAATTTGTATTTTTTCTGATTTCAGTAGGTGGCGCTGTTCTCAAACTGCCCTCAATGCATATTTAGTTTAGTTTCAAGGCAAATGTTGCAAAAACAAATTTGTTGATGCATTACATGTTAATGTTTGGAATATCAACAATCAGTGAGCAACTTGACGGATTTTACATTTTCTGGGATAATCCAATGCACGCTCTAACATCTGAAAACTTCAAAATGATTAAAAATCTCGATGCTTAAAATTTAAAACATTGTTATCATTGAATTTAAAATCAGGTAAAACGGCATTATGTTCCTGGATCACATGGTTCAGGCATTGTAAACAGAAACGTTGGTGCAACTTTGAGCTGATGGTGATGCTAGACGCTTTGAGATAAAACCCCCAAATTTGGCATAACAGTAGCTGAGATGCTGCTCGATCAACGTGCCAAA